AATAAAGTGACCAACATAAATAAAGTGATCATACATGAGTGAAATTACTGCGCTAAACCTGAACACGAATCTGCACCGGTTCGACCTGCACACGTACGATCACGGAAAAGTTAAACATGGAACATTTCCTACGATACACGCACAGAACAGACTCACCATCATCAGCACCTCCTCTGTCACAGAAAAAACACTCACTTTCTACTGAGTCGTGTCCTTTAGTCCCGACAGAAGCTGAACCGCATCAGCGCACAAGGAGCGAGCTGTTTTTATCTGTTTTGTTTCTGTAAAGTGTAAACAAATCTGCGCAAAACTGAATTATCAAACTATCAAACGGGCTGATGTAGTTATGGTTTATATTAGGGACGGGCATTCGATGAAATTTTCTTAATCGATCATCGAGAGAATTAATGATCGATTATCGATTAATCATTAACGGTTTTATATTAAAATGATCATCATTATTATTACTATCTGCACTAATCTGCATAAATAAATTCAACTTTATGACAAACATAACGACTCTAGATCCACATCAGCTGTTTGACATATAATGTGTTTAATTCAGTTTTGTTCAAATCTCACAGAAACAAAACTTAAAGCCAACATCACTAATTTACATAAACTAAACGAAGAAAAAACTCCAGCTCTTGTGTCGCTGATGTGGTTCAACTTCTGTTGGTTTTAAAAGACATGACTCAGGTGAATACAGGTCAGTGTGACCAGATTTGTGTTTGTCAAAACCAGGACAGCGTACGGGGGGAGGGGGGGGGCCTCGTCATCCACATTGAGCGACTCTCACCTGGAAAACTTTTCCCACTGGACACACAGAAACATATGTGCTGCTTTATCCACTGTGCACATGGACTCACACTTGTCCCAACGCAACGGAAAGTGTGGAATTTCTTGTACAAATCATCGTTAAATCCACATTTGTGCTTCGGTTCGTTACAGACTGACCCACTGTTTGTGTCTCGCTCCTTCTGATGCAGAGACACATGTACACACCTGTTTGGTCACGAACACACAGCAACATACATTCGGTTTGTCGATTAAAATTTACGTAATCGATTAAATTCTTAATAATCAATTATCGATTAATCGACTAATCATGCCCATCCCTAGTTCAGATGTTGTAAAGATGAGTTTATTTATGCAGAAGATTTTAATTTAGAATCTGCTGTTTGGAAACGTTGGGTTTGATCTGCGCAGTGGATTGTGGGATTAAACCTCACAGCTCAGTGCCGCTGGTTAGAACCTACCAAGCTTCTTATGCTAAAGGAGCTCATGGTTGTTTTTATTTTTCCTGGTTGATTACCGTAGTTTCTGGGTTATTAGTCGTGCTCTTAAGCCTCCAACCGCATCAAAAAACGACCGTGCCCCACAATCCAGAGCGCCCCATACACGAATCCACTCGGGTGTCCCATCACGACTTCAGTAAACTACAAAGACGCAATCACACACGGAGCAGACAGCGACCGCACGGCGAAACACACCCGCAGACACACTCATCACTCCACGCCGACGAGGAACGGAACGGAGGAACGAACCGAGGAAAAAGCGAGCGCGACGTGCCGCTTCTAGACACGACTGAACAACTGAGTCACTGCGAACACGCCGACAATCCGCGATGGTCCCAGACACACCCTCCCTACACGCCACAACTGAACAAAGCCCAGAGTCACCGTGAACGAACAAACAAACAAAACCACTCACCATCACACTGTTGGGTTTCCTTTAAAGTCCCACGCCGTTTATTTGTGAAAAAAGTTTGAAAATAGACCATTTAATGACAGCGCGCCTTATAAATCCAGTCCAGAGCGACTAATACGGTAAAAAATACGGTAAATTAAATCACGTTGGTAACACTTTATAATAACTACACCTTATTTAGCCTTAATAAAGCATGAACAAAGACTTAATTAATAATGATTCACGCTTAGTAACTTCTTAATTACTACCTGAATTAGCACTTAACTTGCACTTAATTCGCCTGTGCTGTAAATAGTTACTCAATACTTCTTAATTACTCATGAACTAACCATTTGCATGTTTACAAATGCATATTTAAGTTCACATTTGAGCATTTATTAATCATTAGTAAACCATGAGAGAATGATTTACTAATAATACAATACAATGATCATTCAGGCGGCTGTTATCTGTTAGTTAAATCTTTCTGAGATCTTTTCTAAAGTGAAGATGAATTATGTTTATTAAGCATTTGTTAAGGTCGGTCAAATTCCAGAGAAACAATAATGCATCACTAGTAAATCATTTTCTCATGGCTTAATAATCATTAATAAACGCTCAAATTTGTACTTAAATATACATTTACAAATGCACACATAAATGGTTAGTTCATGAGTAATTAAGTAAGAAATACTTATGAGTAACTATTTACAGCACAGGAGAAATTAAGTGCAAGTTAAGTGCTAATTCAGGCTGTAATTAAGTAGTTACTAAGCGTGAATCATTATTAATTAAGTCTTTGTTCATGCTTTATTAAGGCTAAATAAGGTGTAGTTATTATATTCATTTTTGCACTTGAGCATTTGTAAGATTATGTCAAGAAACCGGGAAACTCCATTTGATCATTTCCATTTGCATGGAAACGCACTCAATGTCAGGAGACAGAAAGGACATTTAAAGCACATTTAGCGATACATTTGTTTGCAGAAGATAATGTTTACGTGCAAACTGTGCAGCCGAAAACTGGTCGGGCGACTCTGGTCTGGAGGATTCGAGCTCGTGCAGGCGTGAGTTGTTTTTTTTTTTGTTTTTTTTTTCCAGACTAGTGGAGCTGGTGTAGGTGTGAGGTTGGCAGGTCCCAGGGAAATCCCACACTTGGATCAACAACATTACACAGAGATAGTTTCCACAGCTCGGTGCCTCTTCCTGCCACTCGGTGATGTAACTTTACACAGTTTGGCAAAGCCGTCGTGGTCTAAATCGGACTCTGGAGCGAGCGTCTTAAATAGCCTTTTCTAATTTTACACCCGGAGTCTTCGCATCGTTTCCAGTTTGAGAAATACGCGCGTCTAAAAACAACATCTGTGAGCTCGGTAACCTTTAGATCAGTGTCAAATACAGCGCAGGGTTTCTCCTCAGACCCGTAGACTCAGACCAGGTACGACTGTACATATTTACTTATTTTATTCATTTATTTTGTTTATTCATGCAACTTTATAAACATTAACTTAACAGGAGAGAGCTCATTTTCCACCTGTCGACCTTGGTGCAAGCTTGTTTTTTACTTTTATATGGGTAACTTTTTTAAAGAAACTGAAGAAATTGCAGTTTTAGAGTACTTTCCTAGCTTTTTATTGAAGTAAAAGTACTCCTGAGTAAAAGTACTCAAAACTAAAACTTCAGATATCATTTCGTTTGTCTCGTTTTTGCGTCTGTCTTTTGAAAATACCAAATAGTTTTCACGTTTATTTGTTTTAATTCATTCATATTCTGATCCCGTAAACTTTGAATTATAAATCAGATGTTACGGTTCATCACTTAAAGCCACAGTATGGAGCTTTTTAACGTGTGTTTTTATTGTGAGTGGGCTTGCATTTCCACAGATCTGACTCTAATCTGGCCTCCTCTTGCTTGTTTCCATAGAAATGTCGTTCCTATGGCGATAATATTCCACAGTATTGCATTAAACATACTGTATCTATTTCCATGTAAAACTTTTCTGTTTGCAGGAAATGTTGTCATTTTTCTTACTTACTTCACTGTGTAATATTTTTGGTCTGGGGTCCGTCACCTGCACCTTTGTCTCTATGGATACGTCGTTTCTCAGTCTGGAATGTTCCGCAGTGTGACTTTAAACAGCTCTACTTTACATTTATTCAGTTACAATTTGGTTTTGTAGCTCAAAAACACCAAGAAAAACAAACATTCTGACTGTGAGCGGGCTTGCTTCTCCACGGATCTGACTCTTATTTGGCCTCCTCCTGCTTGTTTCCATGGGAGTATAATGTTCCACAGTATGGCATTAAATATGAGAGTTTATCTCCATGGAATAACTTTCTGTTTCATGCAGGAGACGTCATTTTTTTGTACTTCTACTTCAGGAATTATTGCTGTTTTGAAGTAACGTTACTCTTACTTAAAGCTGCACTGTGTAACTTTTTGGTTGGTGGTCTGTCACCTGCTTGTTTCCATGGATACGTCATTGCTCAGCCTGGAATGTTCCACAGTGTGACATTAAACAGCTCTACTTTATATTTATTCAATTACAGGTGGTTTTACAGCTCAAAAATACAGAGAAAAATAAACATTCTGACTTTGAGGACTAAACCAGGACTAAACCAGGACTAGACCAGGACTAGACCAGGACTAGACCAGGACTAGACCAGGACTAGACCAGGACTAGACCAGGACTAGACCAGGACTAAACCAGGACTAGACCAGGACTAGACCACGACTAAACCAGGACTAAACCAGGACTAGACCAGGACTACACCAAAACTAAACCAGGGACTAAAAGAGGGACTGAACATTGACTATACCAGGACTAAATCAGGAATAAACAAGTACTAAACTTGGACTCTACCAGGACCAAACCAGGACCAGACCAGGACCAGATCAGGACCAGACCAGGACTAGACCAGGACTAGACCAGGGACTAAACCAAAACTAAACCAGGGACTATAAGATGGACTGAACATTGCCTATACCAGAAATAAACCAGGAGTAAATCAGGACTAAACAAGTACTAAACCTGGACTTTACCAGGACCAAATCAAGACCAATCCAGGACTAGACCAGGAACTAGACCAGGACTAAACCAAAACTAAACCACGGACTAAAAAATGAACTACAAGAGGGACTGAACATTGATTATACGAGAGACAGACCAGGACTAAACAAATACTAAACCTGGACTCTACCTGGACCAAACCAGGCCTAGACCAGGGACTAAACCAGGACTGTCACCGCTCTGCCTGGAATGTCCCGCAGTGTGACTTTAAACAGCTCTACTTCACATTTATTCACTTGTAATTTGGTTTTATCGCTCAAAAACACCATCGAAACGCAAACATTCTGACTGCGAGCGGGGGTCGCCTCTCCGCAGATCCGACCCGGAACTCGGTCCGGTCTGGTCCCCGTGAAGACAGGAGGGTTTTAATGTGGCGCTGACTAGACTTCCAGAGGACGAGGAGGTCGCCGGGAGCCAAAGTGTATTCTGGTGAGTCTATTTTTACGTTCGGCGGCGTTGAGTTTAGACGTGGACGGAGCGCGCGAGGTCTTCGGCTCCGACTAAAAATAGGTTTAAGAGAAAATAAACGTGAGATCACATCACCGCGCGCTTTTTACTCCGAGGCGCTCCCCTCCTCCGCGCCGAAATAATCCACAGTACTGCTTTAATATTTGGGTTTTAATTAAAGGGTCTGTGTAGGTTTTTTAATTTGTGTGTTTGAGCGAAATTTCTCTGACCTCAGGACGAAGGGCAGAAACCAAAGACTAAACCAGGACTAAACCAGGACTAAACCAGGACTAAACCAGGACTAGACCAAGAACTAAACCAGGACTAAACCAGGACTAGACCAAGAACTAAAGCAGGACTAAACCAGGACTAGACCAAGAACTAAAGGAGGACTAAACAGGACTAAGACTAGACCAAGACTAAACCAGGACTAGTAAAGACTAAACCAGGACTAAACTAAACAGGACTAAACCAGGACTAGACCAAGAACTAAACCAGGACTAAACAAGGACTAACCAAGACTACCAGGACTAGACCAAGAACTAAACCAGGACTAAACCAGGACTAGACCAAGAACTAAACCAGGACTAAACCAGGACTAGACCAAGAACTAAAGCAGGACTAAACCAGGACTAGACCAAGAACTAAACCAGGACTAAACCAGGACTAGACCAAGAACTAAACCAGGACTAAAGCCAGGACTAACCAAGAACTAAACCAGGACTAAACCAGGACTAAACCAAGACTAAACCAGGACTAAACCAAGAACTAAACCAGGAGAATAAAGCAGGACTAAACCAGACTAACCAAGAACTAAAGCAGGACTAAAGCAAGGACTAAACAAGACAGGACTAAACCAAGACTAAACAAGACTAAACCAAGACTAAACCAAGACTAAGACCAAGAACTAAAGCAGGACTAAAGCAAGGACTAAAGCAGGACTAAACCAGGACTAAATCAAGACTAAACCAGGACTAAACAAGACTAAAGCAAGACTAAACCAGGACTAAACCAGGACTAAACCAGGACTAAACCAAGGACTAAAGCAAGGACTAAACCAGGACTAAAGCAGGACTAAACCAGGACTAGACCAAGAACTAAAGCAGGACTAAAGCAAGGACTAAAGCAGGACTAAACCAAGACTAAACCAAGACTAAACCAAGACTAGACCAAGAACTAAAGCAGGACTAAAGCAAGGACTAAAGCAGGACTAAACCAGGACTAAATCAAGACTAAACAAGACTAAACAAGGACTAAACCAGGACTAAACCAGGACTAACAAGAACTAAAGCAGGACTAAACCAGCTAGGACTAAAAGCAAGGACTAAAGCCAGGACTAAACCAAGACTAAACCAGGACTAAAACCAAGGACTAAAGCAGGACTAAACCAGGACTAAACCAGGACTAAACCAGGACTAAAGCAGGACTAAAGGACTTTAACCAAGGGACTAAAGCAGGACTAAACCAGGACTAAACCAGGACTAACCAGGACTAAAGCAAGCTAAACCAGGACTAAACCAAGACTAAATCAAGGACTAAACAAGGACTAAACCAAGACTAAACTGGGGACTAAACCAGAGACTAAAGCAGAACTAAATCAGGACTAAAGCAGGTCCAAAACAAGACTAAAACAGGACTAAAGCAGGACTAAACCAAGAACTAAAGTAGGACTAAACCAGGACTAGACAAGGACTAAACAAGGACTAAAGCAAGGACTAAACCAGGACTAAACTGGGGACTAAACCAGGGACTAAAGCAGAACTAAATCAGGACTAAAGCAAGACTAAAGCAGGACCAACAAGACTAAACAAAGGACAAAGGACTAAACCAGACTAAAGGACTAAACCAGACTGAGGACTAAAGCAGGATAAAGCAATTAGGGACTAAACCTGAAACCAGGACTAAAACAGGGTCTAAACCAAGACTAAACTAAAGCTAAAACAGACAGGACTAAATCAGGATTAGACCAGGGCTAAACTTGAAACCAGGACTAAAGCAGGACTAAATAAGGGTTAGACCAGAGCTAAACCAGGGTCTAAACCAAGACTAAAGCAGGACTAGACCAGGACTAGACATCTCTCTTCCACTACAGGGGCAGAGGACTATGGGAGGGCATCTGACACACCTGTCTCTCCGGTCTGGGATCCTGTCCAGCTCCTCTTCACTCAGAGCGTCCAGTTTGGTTTTGGATCCTTTAGTTTTATCGTCTTTCTTCTTTCCAAATCTGTAAAAAAAAAATAAATAAAAAAATTAAAACATAAAATTTAAATTACAGCACAAGGTTAAAGAAAAACCATGAGTCAGCGTTTTTACATCCTGGCACTTTTTCATCTTATAGAGCAGGAAAAATGCCAAACATTTTAATTTGAAAACTGGATTTAGCTGAAAGCTTTTATACTGTAGTATACAGTATGTAGTACTACAGTAGTACAACAGTAGAAAGTAGTTTAAAAGTAGTAATAGTAGTAGAAGTTCTTATAGTAATAGTAATAGTAGTACTTATAGTAGTAGCAGTAATAGTACAGGCAGTGTTAGTAGTGTAGTAGTAGTAGTAGTAGTAGTATTAGCAGCAGCTTTCAGTTGAAAAAGTAGTAGTAATGTTGGTAGTAGTAGTAGCAGCAGTAGTAGTTGTAGGAAAAGTAATCTTAATTGTTGTAGTATTAGCAGTAGTACTTGTTGTTATAGGATTAAGTAAAAGTAATCTAGTTGTTATAGTATAGTAATAGTGGTAGTACAGGTAGTAGTAGTAGTAGCAGTAGTAGTAGTAGTAGTAGTAGTAGCAGTAGTAGTAGTAGTAGTAGTAGTAGTAGTAGTAGTAGTAGTAGTAGCAGTAGTAGTAGTAGTAGCAGTAGTAGTAGTAGTAGTAGTAGAAACAGTAATAGTAGAATAGTAGACTAAATAGAAGTTCTTTCTTATAGTTGTAGTAGTACTTATAGTAGTAGCAGTAATAGTGGAGCCAATGTCAGTAGTAGTAGTAGTAGTCACAGTAGTAGTAATAGCATTAGTAGTAGTACACACAGAATTGTTTATTATTTGCAGTAGTAGGAGTGAAGTGACAGAAACAGATCCTGTAGAGTAATAATAGAGTGTAGTACAGTAGCAGTAATAGTAGCAGTACAGGTAGTAGTAGTAGTAGTCAGTAGTAGTAGTAGTAGTAGTAGTAGTAGTAGTAGTAGTAGTAGTAGTAGTAGTAGTAGTAGTAGTAGTAGTAGTAGTAGTAGTAGTAGTAGTAGTAGTAGTCAGTAGTAGTAGTAGTAGTAGTAGTAGTAGTAGTAGTAGTAGTAGTAGTAGTAGTAGTAGTAGTAGTAGTAGTAGTAGTAGTAGTAGTAGTAGTAGTAGTAGTAGTAGTAGTAGTAGTAGTAGTAGTAGTAGTAGTAGTAGTAGTAGTAGTAGTAGTAGTAGTAGTAGTAGTAGTAGTAGTAGTAGTAGTAGTAGTAGTAGTAGTAGTAGTAGTAGTAGTAGTAGTAGTAGTAGTAGTAGTAGTAGTAGTAGAAGTAGTAGTAGTAGTAGTAGTAGAAGTAGTAGTAGTAGTTAGTATCTTTTATCTCAAAATGGCCCCAAACTTAATTTCCTGAAACAAAATGTAAAAAGTCCCTCCCTCTGTTTTTTCCTCCTGCGTTTGTTTTTTTTTTTCATCATTTATCTAATTACCATCTCCACAGTCCAGCCGCTGTTGCCACGGGCTGATTTTGCCCATCCCAACATGGCAACCCGGGGACTCTGGGCACAGGGAGCTGGACAGGAGCTGCACCTGTCTGGACCTGCGCCTGGAAATCTATCAGTGTTTGGGTTTTGCTTCTGGCACAAAGAGACGGGAGATAAACCAGGTCAAATCAGATCTACAAGTGAGAGGAACGAGCAGGGCCGTACACAGAGACGGGGCAAAGGGGTCTGCTGTCCCGGGGCCCAGGGCTGTAGGGGCCCGGAACTGGACCCTCTAACATTTCATTTATATTAGAGGAAGGCCCATGTGAAGCTTCTTGTCCCGAGCCCCCAAATGTCTGTCGATGAACCTGCGTATGTTTGTGTAAATGTATAACCCTCCTACATTTTTATTTTTTCCTTGTTTGTTTGTTTGTTTTTTGCATGTGTGCAAATTTTTTTTATTTATTTCTTTCTTTTTTAAGGATGATAGGGATATATATATTTTTTTATTAATTATTGTTTTGTTTTTTTTTCTTTCTTGCTATTAATTTAAATTTGAAGGGGGCCTATGTGTATGTTTGTGTAAATGTATAACCCTCCTACATTTCAGGGTTTTTTTTGTTTTTTTTGTTTTTTAGTTTTGCATATGTGTTCATTTTTTAATTATTTTTATTTATTAGCTTTTTTTAAAGGATGACAGGGAAATATATATATATTTTTTATTAATTATTGTTTTGTTTTTGTTTTTTTCTTCCTATTAATTGAAATTAGAAGGAGGCCTATGTGTATGTTTAAATTTTTATTATATATTTTTTTGCATGTGTTTTAATTTAATTTTTTTTATTTATTTGTTTGTTTTAAGGGAATTTTTTTATTACTGTTTTTTTTTTTTATTATTGCTATAATTAATTTCTTTATTTTATTTCTTTATTTTTTTATTACTGTGTGTGAATTGCTGTATAATAGTTGATTTTATGAGATGAACTTTTTTTCCCTTAAGGTTTAAAAAATAAATCAAATATATAAAATAAACTAAACACATGTATAATATATAGTATATAACATATGTACAACTAAGAGACAAGAGGAGAGAGATAGAGCATGGGTGGGGGTGTTCTACATGTATTTCTAAGACGAAATGTTCAGCAGTTACCATGGTGACGCGATGCACAGATCAGCAAACACAATCACAAAAACATTTTACACTGTCTGAAAACTCCCTTTCTGCCCTTCATTCCTCTTTCCACATATCCATCCATCCATCCATCCATCCATTTATCTGTCCATCATCTATTCATTCCTCCCTCCCTATTTCTCTCTATTCTACCATTTTTCTCCTCTGCCTGCCTGTCTTTCTTTACCTCCTCTTCTTTAACCAACTATGCTCTCCCTTTCTCCTTCCCTTCCTCCCCTTATCTATCTATCTATCTATCTATCTATCTACCTCCTTCTCTCTTTCTCTCCCTCTTTCTGTTTCTTCCCTCCTCTTCTGCCCACTTTGTCTCCTCGTCTTTCTATCACACTCTCCTTTCTCCATCCCTCTCTTTCCTCTCTCTTTCGCGCCCTCCTTGCCTCTCTCTCCCCCTCTCTCTCTCCACCCCTCTTTCTCTTCCTTTCTTCCTCTTCAGCCCTCCCTCTTTCTCTCTCCCCCCCTTCCTCTACTCCTCCCTCTGTCCCCTCTCTCTTCCTTTCCCCCCCTCTCTCCTTCTCTCTTTCTCTCCTTGTCCTCTTTCCTATCTCTCTCTCTCTCTCTCTTCTCTCTCATTTTTCTCCTCTCCCTCTCTCCCCTCATTTTATTACTCATCCTTCCCTCTCTCTCTCTCTCCCTCCATCCTTCTCCCTCCCTCCCCATCTCTATCTATCCATCCACCTCCTCTTCTTCTCTCCTTCTCTTTCGGCCTCTTTCTCACCTTGTCTTTCTATCACTCTCTTCCTTCTCTCTCTATCTTATCTCTATCCACCCCTCTTCTCTTCCTTTCCTCCTTTTCGGCCCTCCCTATTTCTCTCTCTCTCTCTCTCTCTCTCTTCTCTCTATCCCTCTCCTCATTTTTCCTCTCTTCTCTCCACCAATCTCTTTCTCTTGCTCCACTTTTCTATCCCTCTCCCCTCCTTCCCTCTTTCTCTCTCTCCTTTATCTCTTTCTCTACCCTCCCCCTCTCTCTCTCTCCTTCTATTTATCTATATCTATCCATTCCTCCCTCCATATTTCTCTCTATTCTATCTTTTTCTCCTCTTCCCTCGGCTTATTATTCATCTCCCCTCGTATCTTCCTCCCTCTATCTTACTCTCTCTCTTCTCTATCCATCTCCCTCCCTCCCTCTCTCTCTCTCTCTCTCGTCCACCTCCTCCCCCTCTCCCCTCCTCTTCTCTTTCGTCTCTCTCCATTTCTTTCCCTGAGACAATGTGTTGGGAAAAAAAAAAAAAAAAAACAGCCAATTAAAGCAGAAATAATGACGTCTCGGTGTGGCCCTCTGCCCCCGAATCCTGATCAACGCTCCCACTGTTTGGAAAATATCCGGAAAATAAACACACATTTGTGGAGAGAACGGATTCACGACGGGGAAAAAAAGACTCGGAAAATTTATTTAACTCAAAATATTTAACGGAATAATTCGATTTAAACGCGCGTCAATTGTGTACATTTTCTTCCGGAAGGTCTGTCAAATTGTCAAACGCTTCATTTTTTTTTTTTTGCTTTGTCCGGAATGTTCCGCGGTACGGCTTTAAACCTTTCTATCGTCACGGAAACCAAACCGGACGAAGCGACGGGTCAGATCTGTGGAGAGGCGACCCCGCTCACAGTCAGAATGCTTTTTTTGTTGTTGCTTTTTTACGGTATTTTTGAGCTATAAAACCAAAACCTGTGATTGAATAAATGTGAGGTAGAGCCGTTTAATGTCACACTGCGGAACATTCCAGGCAGAGGAATAATGTAACCATAGAAACAAGAAGGTGACGGAGCCTCAAAAACATAAAAAATTACGCAAAAATGCAGCTTTAAATCTATTTTTTGTAGCTTTTTTCATGTTCTAAAGTTGTTCCTTCCTCAAAAACATGTCTGAAGAGGTTTTAGAGTCATCCATGCATGTTTGAGTAATCTAGTGATCTCTCCCAAACCATCTTTACGGTTTAGCTGTAAGATTCTGTACGAGGCTCCGCCCACAAGCCCACGTCACCCAGGCTCCCACATGACAATTCGACATAAATATATAAAACGTGATACAAAACTGTGACTACGACTTCACAAACCTGACGCGATTCGATTAGTTTAAAGTTCAGGTTTCAGTCTTCTCTAAAACCTTAATACTCCTGGACCTGCTTGTTTCTATGGATACATTATTGCTCTGCCTGGAATGTTCCTCAGTGTGACATTAAACAGCTCGACTTTACATTTATTCAATTACAGGTGGTTTTATAGCTCAAAAACACCTAGAAAGAAACAGACATTCTGATTGTGATAAGTAGTACTAAAGCAGGACTAAGCCAGGACTAAACCAGGACTAGACCAGGGCTGGACCGGGACTAGACCAGGGCTGGACCGGGACTAGACCAGGGACTAAACCAAAACTAAACCAGGGA